TATTTGTTGTCTGTCATTGTAGCTGGGATAATTTTACTTATTAAAGCTCATAATCTTACCACTTGAAACATCACTAGCCCTGAAGCTGCTGGTAGCCATCGCGGTTGGAATCATCAAAGGTTTTTGACCCCTGAGAGACACCGTAGTAACTCCTTTGCATTTGGAAGCGGGGGGTGGGGGTGGGGGAAGGACCAGGGAGGATGATTCAACCACTCAACCAATAGATGTCACTGAAAACAATAAATCCTACACACTGTGCCTTTAAAACCTCTGAAAGGTTGATTTAAGATATTTTAAGGCCTAATTTTTGGATTGCTAAATTCAATGCCTTTTAAGACTTCTTAAGAGAACCCTGACTTCTCTAAAGAGCGAACTGAATGTGACGTGTCATTTTCAGCACATGTGGTTCTGCATGAACACTATGGACAGTTCACACTGGAGCCTGATGGAGGTAACATTTGAAACAACGTGAATGTCCCTGCAACAGATCAATAAATCTGAGGACAGATGCAGGAAGTGAGTACCTTTAAAAGTTCTGGTCCGAAAAACTCCATCATTGGGGGCATCTTGCTTTCATTTTTATTCCCTGTCCCCTCTGCCATGATCTTCTTCAGCACACCAACCATCCAGTTAAATCCTGTGCACAGAATTTTTTTAAAAAAAAAAGTCTCTTAAAACACTCCATGTTGAGTTTAAGACAGTGAGGTAACAATAGGAACCTTAAACATCAGCTTCATACATTCAGATAAGCATCCATTTTCTTGGTTCTCTGGTTTTTCTCCAAATAAAATCAAGTTGATGTTCTATAGAAAATGAGTACATCTTCTGTTTGCCAGCAAGACACTGAGTTGGTTTCCAGTTTCACAGAAATATCCAGTTTCATGTCCTGAAGTCAGATAAAGTTTAATGGCGATATCACATATCATGACTGAGTTGTTGTCTTTCAGATCCACCCTTCAGTGTTTAAAATGTCATGAGTTTTGAGTTGTTAGAATTAGACCATTTATTACATCTACAAAGAGCCTTTACTTCAGGTCAAAAAGGTAGATAGGATGGGTGGGACAGGGAGGTTACAGGTGCCGTTTCAGCTCATTTATTTATTAGTTAATAGATGAATGAGGAGAATAAAAAACAGAGAAGGTTGTATAAATCTTGGATTATAAATCAATATGACGTGAGTTGCAGCGGGCAATATAAATACATAAACAGCAATAACGATGGCTGGATATTGTTTTTTTTAATCACTCAATCAGTGTTGTGTCGGGTGAACAAGAGTCTGCAGAGGGAAAAACTTTTCTTTTTATGTTAACGGTGCGTTAACAGCGGGAGAGCAGGCAGAAGTTGCACAATTTTTTTGTCACTCAGCAGGGGGAACGAGAAGTGCGACTAGAAGTACGAACCAGCCTTCAGACCAATCATTCAGAGCATTCTTTAAGACAAGAATGGTGAATAAGCAAACTGTCATTTCTCATAATAGAACCAAAACAGACGTCACGGAAGGATAAAAACATTTCAAAGCAGTAAAAACACAAGAACATATGAGGCAATAAAACATAAGGTTCAAGCATATCTCCCATTGAAACTTCACAAAGCTGTCTGTCATGTAGTTGCACGCAGCCCTGTCTGTTCACTCTAAACAAAGGCTTTCTTTTGTTTCTAAAGAGGCCCTTGGTTACTTAAACTGGGAGGAAATAATGTCGCAAATGAAAATCTCCCTTTTTAGGCCCCCGCAACACACCCAGCAAAACAAGCAAATAGAAGGTTCCTCCTGATTCCCATCTGTATTCATAACATTTCTCACTGAGCACGCAACCTTCCTAAAAAAAAGTTCCCACAGGAACAACAGGAATGCTGCGTGTCTCTTTCTGTACAAACAGCTCTGTGAACTCTTGACATGACTTCAGAGACCGAAATTACAGCTGGAGCGCCACAGTTTTTGCAAAAAGCTGTAAAATCTAATTGTCCCCGCAGGACTCTGCGTAATATGGTGCTGTTTCATACATTTCTGCAAAGTGAGATGTTTCATTGATGTAAACAACATGTAGTAGCATTGATCAGGTGTTTTGAACGTCAGTCACATTATGTGGACAGAATCTCCAGCTGACTGACAGCAGAACAGGATGATTAGGCTGAAAAAAAAAAACACCTCTGGAGCAAATCAGTAACCTGATGTTGTGTGTTCAGACTAAAAAGGCAGTAAAAATGTCTTCAGATGGGTGCAAACATTTAGGTGGCTGGTAATTCTCCAACATTCAGGCAAATTTTGTTAAGAGAGACAGTTGTTATTATCTTAAGGGGATGGAAACGTTTGTGAAGCCATGTTTTCGTACTTGTTTAAGAGAAAGATGTACTTTAATCCAGGGTATGGGCTTATGGAATGATCTGGAGGATGATCTTAAAAATGCCAGATCTATGTAAATATTTAAGAGACAGATAAAAGCTACTTTTTCTGAAGGTATATGGGAAAGTAAAATGTGAAGCTATATGAATTGTTTGAGTTGATGTTTTTATTTTTATTTGTATATTTTGTAAATTATATTTTGTTTGAATACATTCTGGGGATAAAAGGGGCAGACATTTTGATT